ACCATAGCTACTACCTGACTCGCCACAGAAAGGGAGTGATAGGCTCCTTATCAGCCGAGACTAGTTGCTGCATCCGACCGTCCCTTATCATGAAGTTGGTCGCACCTGAGTTCTCGAACACTGATTTCGGGTCTCCCAAGCTACCACTCACTCGTATCCTCATCAATAAGGAAGGTCGATGCACCAACCTCCAACGCCTCCATAATATTAGCCGCTTGACTGGTACTCCCTACCATCCAACAAGCCGTCGTTGAAACTACCGCGCGCCACGAAATTCCTACCACTAGCATCTTCTGTCGAGAACTGCGTCGTGTCGCGACCCAGAGGCAGGTTGGAGATGAACGGGCTGATATCTAAGATGAGCTCCAACTCTACGGCGTCGTATAGACGATTCGCAAAGGGAGAGAACATACACACACCTTATCGCGGAATGTTAATGCAGATTTCCGCAACCCACTTTGAATTCCATACCACTCGAAACGATGTCAACGATAAACGTGCGTTAATTTTTCTATGTGATAACGATTATTCAATCAGCCAAGACGGAATATTTCACCCACGATTAAACCTCAAAAAGGTATAGCCTCTCCCTTATACTACCAACCGTATTAATATATCGTCCATCCTCAGCCCTTATCTTCATCGCTTTCGAGTCCGTCACCACAAACTCCCGACCATCACCCGGTATATGGTTGTAGACGCCCAACTGCAATGCCTCCAACAACGTACCTTCCAAAGATCTCTCCCCCATCCCCCCCAACAACCCTCCCTACTCTTTCCATGAAAACCGCCTCCTACTATCAACGTCACCCCCTTCCTTATCCCCATCCCCTCCAGTCGGCCACCATGAGGTAGTTCCACAGACAGTGACAATGACGGCGGCGACTTGAACTCAACTACCTGTAATAAAATCACAAAATCTTAGCGGAGCGAAGCTCTCCCTTTATGCTACATCACTGCCTCCATTGGTCTTCAATAACGGCCTATCATCCACCCCAGACCGACGCGGGAGAATAGCGCCGTTCTTTACGAAGGCAACCAGGCCCAGCTCGTCCAGCTTGTCACGAAGCTACGAAGTGACCAAAG